CACATATATATATATATATATATATATATATATATATACTATTTTTTTTTCATTAAGAATAATATCAGAGAGGAAGAGTGGATGATTCAAAAGCCTTCTAGGAGAAAGAAATTTAAGGGTAGCCCGTAGCCGTGAGCTTGGTTATCTAATGCCTGATGCTCTAAATGATCAGTTGATGGGTAAGAATTGGGATTTAAATGATTTGGCCTCTGCCTCTAGATTGACTAGAGGAAGGAAAGATCATAATGATGAATTTTATTACTTTATTTTGGAATATTAGAGGTATTGCTAAGGCTAATGCCTCTAATAGACTTAAGAATTTAATACGTACTTATCATTTGCCTTTCTTTGGGGTTCTTGAACCTCTTGTTGATTCTTGCAATAATGATAAGTATGTTAGGAGAATCGATAATTTTAATTATTTTGCTAACCTTAATAATAAAATTTGGTTTCTTTAGAAGGATTTTGTTAAGGTGGATATTATTATTAATCGTAATCAATTATTGCATGTTTATATTAACTTTCATGGTATTTCTTTTTTTCTTACTATTATTTATGCTGGTTGTTTGAAGAAGGATAGATTTGATTTATGAAATTTGCTTAATTCCATTCGTCCCTCAACAGAACCTTGTTTAATTGTGCGGGATTTTAATCTTATTTCTTCTGTTAATGAAAAGAAAGGTGGTTTACCACCTAATATTAATCTGATTTCTGCTTTTAATGCGGTGCTTCTGGATGTCGGCCTTTATGATTTTGGTTTTCATGGTAATTCTTTTACTTAGAATCGTGGTCATGTTTTTGAAATACTTGACAGGTTTGTTTCCAATTCTTCTTGGAGCAATTCTTACTATCTTTATGAGGTTCATCATCTTGCCTTTTCAGCTTTGGATCATACTCCAGTTTTACTTAAAGTGAAAGATGATGTTGGTAAGAAAAATTATCACTTTCATTTTCTTAATATGTGGACTCTACATCATAACTTTCTTATGAGTATTAGGGATAATTGGAATGTTCATAAGCTTGATGTGGTGCCTAATAATCCTAGCATCAAGCTTTGGTTGCTTCAAAAGCATCTTGCTAAATTTCTTAGAAACTGGAATTGGACAGTTTTTGGAAATCTTGGTAGAATGGTTATTGAAGTTGAACACCGTGTTAAGGATTTGAAGACGAATTACTGTCGTAATAGTTGTAGCCTTGAATTGTTTATTCAAGGCCAAAAAGATCTTATTAATGCTATTAATATGGAAGAGTCATTATATGCTCAAAAGGCTGCTAAAAATAATTTTTTTTGATAGGGATAGGAACTCAGCTTTTTTTCAAGCTTGCATTAAGAGTAGAAAAAAGAGTAACATGATTAATAATATTAAATTTATTGATGGTAGATCTTTGTCTAGCCATAATGATATTGTCAAAGATGGGATTAATTTTTTCTCTAAGTTATTTGCTAATGATGGTAGTCCTTTGGCTAAGATTAATGTTGATCTGTACCAAAGGGCTAATTGTTTGGATAATGTTTATATTACCTTTGTTTCTTCTAAAGATGAGATTAACGCTGTCATTGATAGCATGGATGAAGTTAAAGCTGCTGATCCTGATGGTTTCACTGTGGAATTTTATAAAAGTTGTTAGGATATTGTTCATATTGAGCTTGTGGAGGTTATTCATGACTTTTTTCTAGGTAATGATTTGCATAAGTATTTTAAAACCTCTAACAATGCTTTAATTTCTAAAGAGAATGGTGCTAATTCTTAGGATGCTTTCAAACCTATTAACATTATTACTGTCGTTTCTAAGATTATTTCTAAGATTTTGGTTAAGAGGATTCAACCGCTTTTGAATAACATCATTTCCTTAAATCAATCTGCTTTTCTTAAGGAGAGGCATATTGGGGATAATGCTCTTACTGTTCAAGCACTACTCTTGAATCTGGATAAGAGTAAGAGACGTGGCAATGCTATTTTTAAGATGGATATTAAGAAAGCCTTTGATTCCATAAGATGAAAATTTTTAATTGATGTTTTAAAAGCTATTGGTTTTAAATATGATTTTTGCAATATTGTTTATTGAATTTTAAATAATAATTACTATTATGTTATTATTAATGGTAGTTCTCATGGGCACTTCATGACTTCTAAAGGTATTAAGCAAAGAGACCCTCTTTCTCCTTATCTGTTTATTCTTGCTTTTGATTATTTATCTTAATGTCTTAACAATCTGTTTGAGAATCATCATTGTTTAAATTATGCTCATAAAGGTAGTATTAGCATATCCCATCTTTATTTTGCTGATGATCTTATTCTCTTTACTAATACTAATAAAAGAGCTATTAAGATGATTTGGAAGGTAATAACTCATATGCAAGAGGCATATGGGTTATTATTTAATACTTCAAAATGTTATTTTTATTGCTCCAAGTACGTTTCTACTGATAAAAAGAATTGGATTTATGATTTTATTACTTATAATAAGGCTAGTTTACCTCTTAAATATTTGGGTTTCATACTTGATAAGAAGGTTAGGAGAAACCCTCATTTCTCCGATTTAATCGATAAGATTAGTACTCGACTTCTTTCTTGGGAGCATAAGTTCTTATCTTTTGGTGGTCGTATTACTATCCTTAAAAGTATCCTTACTTCTCTTCCTCTTTATATTATGCAAGTGGTGAACATGCCTCTTGTCTTAATTAAAAAGATTGAGATTTTATTTAATATGTTTCTTTGGGATGGTGGTGACAAGAGGAATATTCATTGGAAAAGTTGGGCGAAGCTTTGTAAGCCTGTGGATAAGGGTGGCTTGGGTTTCAGGAGGTTGACTGATTCTATTAAATTTAATTTTATGAAGCTATGGATGCATTTTCTTATGAATAATTCTATTTGGGTTTCTTTACTTCATGCAAAATATTGTTCTAATTCTCATCCTCTTTCTATTTCTTCATCTACTCTAATTCTTTAATTTGGAAGGAGATGCTTAAGGTTGCTCCCCAAGTAGAAGATCTTTTGTTTTGGGACATTGGTAAAGGGGATGTTGCCTTTTGGTATGATGATTGACTTGAAAATGGTGCACTTGGGGACTTCTATAGGGGTCCTCAGGCTATTAATATTAAAGTTAAAGATTTTTGGGTTGATAACAATTGAAATTTACCCAAGTTGTTTAATATGGTACACTATAATGATGCTTCTTTTATTTCTCATATACCCATTACTGCTGATATGAAAGACATTCCTATGGTTAAAGGTAAGATTGGTGATTCTATTACCAAAACTTTTGCTAGATTGGAGCACAATTTTCAGGGCTTGGATCTTTCTTGGAACTTGAATAAATGGGTGAAGCCCTCTATATCCTTTTTTATTTGGAGGGTCTTTCATGAGATTCTCCCTCTTGATAATATACTCAAATTTAAGGGCTTACGGTTGGCTTCTAAGTGTTATCTTTGCAATAATGATGAAGAAACTCTCACACATCTTTTATTTCATGTAGTTTTGCTAGTAATATTTGGAAAAATATTTTTGAACTCAGTGGTAGAATGAATGTTTATAATGGTTATAATACCATTACGAAAATCTCTGAGGATTGGAAAAGTAAAGGACATTATTTCTTAACTAACCTTCCTTTTATTGTGCTTTGGTTTATTTGGGTTTCTAGGAACTCTGTTAAGCATAATGGTGAGGTTTTTACATTCATGAAGACTTTTGCGATGATCTGTTCCCTATATTTATAAAAGTCTTTTTATGAATAATTTAAAAGAGAATACTAATAGATATATGATTTCTGTTGATATTAATCTTTCTATTTCCTTTAATACTGTCGCTAGTTCTTATTGCAATAAAAGGTGGATCAAACCTTTTGCTCATTTCCTTAAAATTAATTCTGATGACAGTTGGTAAATGAACTGTGCGGGAGTCGGTGGAGTTTGTATGGATTGGAATGGTGATGTTTTATATTGATTTGCTGCCCTTGCTTTACCTGTTTCTTCAATTGTGGCTGAGGCTGATGCTATTGTTTTTTCTTTGATGCTTGTGAGACAGATTAGATGGAATAATATTATTTTGGAAATTGATTCTATTACTCTTTGGAAAGTGTGCAGATATGATATGGTGTGTCATTGAAGTATTAACTTACAAGTTAAGAAGATCAAATCCATGGCTAAAGATCTTAATATCTATTGGTCTCATACTAAGAGAGATGGAAATGCGGTTACTGATTGGGCTGCTAAGCGAGGATCTCTTCTGAGTGCTCTCTTTATTTCTAATATTTTACCTGGTGATCTTAATCGTTTAGTAATGTTGGATGTCTAGTTAAGGAAAAATCCGGATCGGCCACCGCACGCAGCTTGGTGCGGTGCCCGATCCGGACCGTAGATCACCTGATCTACGGTCCCGATGTATTTCGGTGGGCCCCACCTAAATTTTTTATTTTTTTTTATAAAAAAAAACAACGTAGATCAGCGTGATCTACGGTCCCGTAGATCACCGTGATCTACGGCCAGGATCGGACACCGCATGCAGAGATGCATGCGGTGTCCGCACGCAATAATCTCTCCTAGTTTAGGGTGTGTTTGGTGGGTGTGTCGAGTTGTATTTTTTATTTTATTATTATTTTTAATTTTTTAATTTTTTTTTAAAGAGGACACATTTTCTATATATAAATATAATTTAATGGCTAAATAGGTATATTCGAATTTTTCGTTTGATTACTTATCTCACATACGAGAGGGAGGCAGGGAGTTTAATGGGGAGATGGGGAGCTTGGTCCCAGCTCAGGCAACTAAAAGCATCGTCGCGGTGCTCTTCCTCTCATTCTCCTCGACGTACATCGGCTTCTCTTGGAAGTCTTTTTCTACCCCCGACATATGGTTTCTGCTCACCATTTATTAGGTTTTCCTCCACAATCCCTGCCGTCTCCGATTCCTATGATGGGGTTTTGGGCTCTGGGCATTACGAGCACATACAGAGGAATGAGTGGGAGTCGCACGAAGACGAGGGCACCTCTAGATATATTCCGGTGAAGGCCTATTTTCTAAGCACTAGGTATTTTTTTTTTGAAGTTTTTTTTTTTTTTTTTTTACTTGTTTCCATCTTTCTTTATTTCGGTACATCAGTTTTCTTTGCCAGCTGATTAAATTCGATCGAGAAATAGTATTTTTGTTGCTTGCGAAATTGATAATTTCTGACCTTAATTTGAATCGTATGAGGGCATATCTTATTCTTGTAATGTTTAGGATGACAATGGTTTGTAGCCATTTTTTGGAGGTTCTTCATGAAGTATTCAAGGTGCATATTTTATATTTATGTAATTTATAGAACTAGATATTCCTTTGATAAGGCATCCGTTTATGAGGCACTGAAAATATGAATTTGTCTGTTTTAGCAAAACGAAATTCTTCCATTCCATTAGTAAGCATTTATTCATGGATTTCAAATTGAATCATCAGAAATTATAATTTTTGAAGCTTTTTATGTAATCTCTATCTGTATATATGCTAAGGAAGTGTGCATACTATTGGAAATAACACTTGGTGCGTTATAAGGGGGCCACATGGTGTGGTTGTTTTGAATTTTAATTAAAATGCAATTAAAAGTCAACTATCACTTTTTGTATGTCATTGTTTTTGATTGGATTTCACTTTAAATATGCTTTGACTGTAATTATGACATCCTTCATGTCATTATTTTTAAATTGAATTTGATGTATGATGCTATTTTAATACAATCATCTACTCAATATATAGCTATCACGCCATGCATATCGTTATCTTAAATTTAAAATTGTGTAACTAATAATTTAACTTAATTTTAATTATTATTATGATTCATTGCAACTCATGGGCATTGACTGATACTATTGATGAAAAATGCATTTTTGTTGTTTAAAGTTGTTCATTTACTTATTCTATAATGGCAGTTCCTGTGCATATTATCTTTACATGGTTATTATAATTTATGTTTGATTGCTTGGCTTTATAGAGTGGTAGTATATTTGTAAAGCTTTCAAGTTTTTGGTAAATTGATTAATACAATGGTATAAACGAGTGGTTTCTGACTCGGTTGTTTTATCAGTATTGATTTGAAGAGCATACAAACTGAAAATGTGTGCTATGTGATTCCTCCGTCTTCTCGTTCATCAAATTATGTTGCGCTACGCTACTCCGATTACCCTCTAGTAAGGATGATCTTCAAAAGTAAACCTTTTTTACAGGACATTTGCATTGCATAAATTCTGTGTTTTACTCATTTTTATAAAATTTTCATTAATTAGCAATTTTTATTCATTTTCAATTTTGCTGTGTTTCTCTAAAATAGCACGTGGAAGAATCATGGCAGGAGGACCATCTTTTTGCAATTTGCTTATAAATATTTGATTGATGAAAAGTTTTTTTAAAAAGAATTGAAGTCAGGCCTTGAATTTGTTGAATATATTGCCATGGTGTACAATTTAGCAGCCTCAGGCATAGCTTTTTTGTTTACGCGTTGTTGTTGTGTAGTAAAAGGACACATGCCCAACCTAATTTTTCTTTTTAAATTGAACATATTGTCAGAAATTTGGAATTAACAACACAGCTGAATTGCAAGGTGCATAGTTTATTATGTAGGTTAAGTGGTCTTGGCATTAATTTTGGCTTGCAACTTGGCTTGTTTATTTCGATCTGATCTCGATCTGAGCCAAAAATTAGAATCAATCCTCGAGCGATTAACGACCGTTGAGCTAAATTCAGAGCCCTAATTGGGATTTTGAATGGGAAAGGGTTGATTATGAAGAAAAAATGGAAAGAAGAAGAGGAGATAACCTCATTGGTCACGAGCATACACCGGTGATAATTTATTGATGTCTCACTAAGTTGTTATTTCGAGCCTTCAACACCACACGCCTTTGAGTTTCTCTTTTGCTTCCTCTCTTCCCATCTCAATATAATCTATATTTTTCATCGTTGAGAAATAATCAGCCCATCTCCTCTCATTCAGCCATTAATTTGAAAGTTAATTGTTTTCTCCGTTAAAATAATAAATAATTGGTCTTTAACGGTTACCATAGATTAAGAATGCTAATTAGGATGCTATTAAACTTGGAGGAAAAGATGATGCGTTTGAGTGAAAGGAAAAAATAAAAAAATAAAAATGCTTACATAGATGGGTATAAATATATAATAATTGGATAAATCATTAGGATTTCATTATATCTCTTTTCCTTTCTTTCAATCTGAACAAAACTTTGATGCTTTATTTAGTTGAAGGAAAGCTTAGTTGAGAAAGCTTGAAATATATTATGCACGAAAAATAATGGGGAAAATTACATGCATGACACTAGAAACTTTATTATTTATAAAAGTAGCTCCAATGTCACTTTTTTGAACTATGAAACGAGTTTTTTAACACATGCCGCAATCAAACTATTAGAAATTAATGGAATTGGTGAAAGGTGGGATCAAGGGACTAGGAATTATGGTGATTTAATTTGTCCTTGCTGCAGTTCTTTGTGGAGGAATTCTTTGAACCATTGGATGTACATGCTAGTTCCATGCAATGCATGGGTATTGGATTCTTTTTAGCGTTCATTTTACTGGATGAAACCTACACTGTTGTCGATGCAAACTTTATGTGATGGTCAACCATTAATCTCAAGTTCATTTGTCCTATAGTTGATCAATTATGCTCTATATTCCCTCTGTTTCATCTTAATTAGAGGCAGGCATTGATTAATTTCTGTCAGACGTTTATCCAATTTCAAACAATTGTGATTTCATAGATTTTCGATCTTGTAATTCAAATTATAGTTTTTAATAGATACATGTTACACATCCATACATGCGTAGATAAATTTGTAGTTGTAGAAACACATATGTGCAATCATACAAGCATAAAATATACACATCTAAACACATATATGCATTTACATTTTGATGTTAATGAAGCTTTGATTTTTAGTGTAGGTAGTTTTTCCATTTACTGAGTGCTACGTAATTTGTTACGACTATGATTACCTCACTTTAAGTTGATAGGCCAAGATTGGATTGTCAATGTCAAAAATTTTGTGTTATCGTGAGGTAGACAGGTCCTTATTGAGAACATAGACAAATTTGATCACGGGAGTTGAGATTTAGAATATTGATTTCATTAGTAATAATGCACTCTCTGATGAAGTGTATGCTTTGTGTAAGCATGGAAGATACGGCTGTCGACTGAGGTCATGAAAGAAATGCTCTCAATGTAACAACAATGTGGGATGAGTGGTCAGAATTTGAAATTTCTGGTTAAGTCGATGAAAGCATAATACATTTGTTGCTGCCTCAGCGAAGATGTGTCATCTACTTTATTAGAAGAGCAGGCGATGATGGGTTGCTTTTTGACACACTAGGAGACTGGTTTGTTGCTCAGATAGGAGTTGTGTTTGTTTATAAACTTGCGATCATGGGAGTCATTTGCTGAGTCAGAGTTAGAGAAGACACACCGTGTAGAAAGGTTAAATTTGGAGGTAATGTTTGAAGAGCAGGAAGTAGCCACTAGTAGGATGACATGTGCCAAGAATAGTTGAAGGATATATCCAATTATGTGATGTTGAGGTATTGGAGTGAGCCGATTAATTGTCTATACATATCTGGATCAACTAAGTCTCTTTGGGCATGCTGGTGATTAGCTGTTTTGATGGTAGGGGATTGAGAGCTGATTTACAATCTACCATACTAGACTTTGAAGAAGATCCAAGGCATATTTCTCCGAGCTAAGGTGAAGATCATAGGGTTCTTTGTAGTCTGGATTCCAAGGAAGGAAACGGTTCTAAGATTTCATGTTGAATGCTTGCTGCAAATTTTGTAGAAATGCTGAGTGGGTAGAGCTAGTGTTTCCTGTAAGGGTATGTTATTGATGTGTATGAGCACATACATGTCAATTCCTTGTTTTTGCTTGAAGCCTTGGGCTACTAGACGAGTTTTATGTTGATGGATAGTGCCATTAGAGTGAGATTCAGTTTTAAAGGTTCATCGACATTCAATCATTTTTTAATGCGTAGATTGAGTTGGACTAGTTTATTTCCTTGCTTCTGTAATATATGAAATTTGTGAGACAAGGCTTTTTTCCACTACTTGTGCTCAATAGCCTAAGGGTAGTAGATGAGTTCAAGGGATTGGGAAAGGGTATAATGTGGAGCAAATATGGGTTTACGTTTAAATGAACCTATTTTGCTCAAGTTAGCATGTGGTGGGTGTGGGGTTTTGGGATAGATTGTGGTTGGGTGGGAAATAATGCTATTGATTGGAATGTTGTGATGTTGGGTGGGATATTTGAAGGGTTGGGAGTGCAAAGGTCATAATAGTTAGTGATGATGAATCAGTGGGCGTTGATTGTGATGTATAAGTGGGATGTTATTATGAGGTGCCAGTGTAGGATAGAGGAATTAGAGTTAATGAGATGGTGGGGTTGTTCTGATTATAGTTGTACAAGATTAAAAGTAAGGGAATGTGTGTTTATCAAATATGGCATGTCAGGAAGTTATAATTTTACCTGTGATATGGTGTATAGACATCTGTATCCATTATGATTGCAGTAGAGCACTAAGCCGATTTGTGATGTTATTAGGGGGAATTGAGGGAAGCAGGTGCGACCAAATAGTTGAATATGTGAGTATTGGGAAGGTGAGTGACGTGAATGTTGATATGGCAATTTATTATTTGTAGTTTTGAAGGGTATTTGATTAATTAGATAAGTGGGCATAAGGAGTGCATCGACCCATAGATTATGAGATAGATTGGCTTCGTGGAGTAATGTGTGGGTTATTTGAAGAAGATAAAGATGTTTGTGTAGACAACACTATTTTGTTTAGGAGGATATGGGCACTTTATTGTTGTACAACTCCATGATTGAAGAGAAATTTATTAAGGGTATTTTTTCGTATATTCACCACCATTGTTGGAGCACAATAATTTTGTTCATGTGTTGAATTGCTTCAAGTACATAAATTTTTACGAAGATTCAAATTTATGAAACATGAGGAATTTCCAGCAGAGATGAGCGGAGTCGTTAATAAAGGATTCTAGTATTTATAGCTTTGAAAGGAAGTGACTAGAGATGGTTCCCATACATTTGTGTTGGCTGAAACAGTTTGTTGTTGTAATTATTAGACAATAAAAGGAAGTCAATGATTTTTTTTTCTGTATGAAAATTGTTTCAAATATTTAACTAAGTAGAATACATAGTGTCTATTGCTATTTGGATATAATAGAAATGGTCGAGGCGCTGGGATTAACCAAGACATTGGTGTTATAGGTGGACGGTGGAGCTTTTGGACAACAAGGCTGTAGTAGTATGATTGGATGATGAGAATAGATGGGTTAAAGGCTTTCATGGCACGATCTCTTAAGGATAACCCAATTTGTCATAAGGTATTTGATGTGATAGAGGTATGGAAAGAAACGATGCAGTTATGATCAACAACAAGATTATCAATTGAAATAAGTTTTTGTATAATTGAGGAACATGGAGTAGTTTGGAACAGATGAGCTTATGTTGTGGAGTGGGAAAGCCTTTTCTTTGTTTGAGTATAGAGCTACTACCGATGACCAACACTTGCTTAGAGCTTTCATAAGATGTAGGATGCTATGGTTGATCTATATATGAGGTGAGATGTGAGGAAGCTCTGGAGTCGAGAGAATGGTTGAAGAAAATTTCAATTTGAATTGTTTGTTGGAGGGAGAATATTTGGGATTGGAGAGGTGTCATTATTTAATTACCGAGTGTTTTCCTTTAGTATAAATTTAGCAGATGATGTGTTGAGCTGCTATTGGCCACCCTTTCCCAGTACTTAGAGAGGTATAGTCCCCACATCGGCTTGGTCTCCGCCTTTTTAGGAACTGAGTTAGTCAAAATCTTGATTGCAACTTGGGGATAAAGCAAATTTCTTTGTTGCTTCAGTGACAATAGTTGGTTTCCTCGCTACATAACAAGGAGTAGAAATTGTCGGCCCTGTTTGGTATCCAATTAAACTATTAGTCACTGCCATTTAAACTTTTAAATTGCCAAGGTAACTGAATAAGTTAGTGAAATGATGCTCACCAACCAGAAAAACTTGCTTCTGTTATTCACTGATATTTGCACTTTTAAATTGCTAAGATAGCTGAATTAATTACTGAAATGATGCGTACCAACTGGAAAAAGCTTGCTTCCGTACACTTAGTTATTTTTATTAAATTTTCTGTTCATGCTCTTCAACCATAAATGGTAAAAAAATGCATGATTGGCTGTCTTCAATATTTTTAAACTTTCACAATTAAACCATGACTCCCTGCCTCTACGGAAAGGCTGATGCATTTTTATATTGCTAAAAAAAAAACGTATTGTATTTCATATTTATCAATTTTTCTACTTGAGCTAGACTCATTTCTTACTTTCTTCTGATCTTTATTTCTTTGTATACATTAGCTTTCTTTATCTGTAGGATATTCTTCAGATTTTTTTCCTTGGATACGACTACACAGAGTGGCATAGTATTTGTAGCATTTATTTTTTATTTGTAGTCATGACCATGTATGCATGTTGTGGTAGCAGAAGCCTTTGGAATTTCGGTTTGATTTGCCATCATTTTTAATTGTTGGGGCATTTACGTACATATCACCCAATTCCTATATATTTACATATCTACCACCTAAACATTACTTTTTACATTTTTACCACCCAAATCTTTCACATCACATAAGAAATACCACCATTTTAACTTTTAAAATGTGAAAGACATTTTCTTGCATAGGTTTGGTGGCATGTATGTAAAAATTGAAGTTCAGGTGTTAGATATGTCAATACATAATAATTGAATGTTATGTATGTAAATTTTCTTTAATTGTTGACCAACTTAAAGTTCTGATCTCATGTAAGCACCTATTGCATGATAATATGATTGTTTTAGTTGATAATATTTGCAAGCCAAATTGCTTTAAATTTTTACCGTTTTTCCCTTCTTGTAACATGATATTTTGTTTTAGGATATTGGGATCAATGAGAATGGCGATAATTGCCGCTATGTTGTAGTTTTCCAATATGGATCGGTTATCTTGTTCAATATTGCAGATCATGAAGCTGAACAATATCTTGATTTAGTTAGGAAGCATGCTCATAGATTGCTTCCTGAAACGAGAAAGGATGGTAACCTTCTTAGAAGCCTATAAAGATCTTTTTTTTATCGATTTAATATTATGATATTGCATTTGTTACCTTTCCAGTTAATATTAAGAATAAAGGTGTTAAAATGTTTATTTATTGTTGTAAATTAACTAGCCTTTTAGTAGTGTTATAATTAAGTTTTTAATCATTCTGGGTCCACAGTATGGTAATCAACCCGATAATTTATTTCCTATTTTTGGTAGTATTCGGAGGCGGTGAAAATTTTTGTCCTTAATTGAACTGAGTCTTAAAATATTTTTCCTTGGTGCTTTCAGTTTTTGATTATATATTAATAGTATAAAATTTGCAATGTACTTGTCTACACTAGAAGTAATATCAAATATTGATATTAATGGGAAATATGTTGTAAAAGGGTTCATAAAATGATTGCAGATTATCGCTTGCCAAGGTTGTTGATATTTTCTCTGATATCTTGCTGGCTACATTTAATCAACAAAATTCCTCGATTCTCTAAGAACGAATGATGGTTATGTTTGCTGACTTTACATCATTGATAACAGACAAAAAATGTTTTTAACGACTACATCTTTTGTCGTTATCACTTTTATTTTTTTGAGATCGCCATTAATCTTTGGAGCACTTGGGGCTTGATGTTGGGTTAGAAATTACCCTAGTGTGTATGAAATATACCAAAGCATCCAATCAAATAAATCATTCGAACTATTGAACTTAGGGTTGTGTAATTGAGTCAAGACAACTCATGAGCCGGCTTGGGCTTGGCTTGATAAGTTGCTCATTCGATGTGCTAAGAAGCCAAAGCCCAAGTTTTTGCCCGACTCGACTCATTAACTCGTGAGCTAGCTCGTTTAAAAATATATTAATGTATAATATACTCAAAATATATTACAATCCAAGTCTTTATCTTTAAGTTATTAAAAATACTTAAAAATAATATTTTATATTTTATATGAAGTTATTTCTTGTTATTTTTCTCATAATAGGTCATTCTATTTATCATTTTTATAAAACCTAGCTTGAGCTAATGTTATTTTCTCTATTTTCTAATAAACAAGACGGCTCGTGAGCTGGCTTGAATTTGTAGAATTAAGTTCAAGCTTAACTCTAGCTCGAACTCGATTAATTAATCAAGCTCAAGCTTGAGTCTACTCGTTTAAGCCCCTAAGTGACCTTTTGGATACACTGAACATCAATAAGGGATTACAGAACTTCTTCAGAATTTGGTTTCTTTGCATCACATTTTAGGGAAATTATTGTGCTTTATTCATCTTTTGTCGCATATAGATGAGCCATCTTTTTAACTTACAGTAGTCCTGTTTAAGATCATGTAATATTTCATTTTTTAATGCAGTCTGTATGCCAATATTATTATATTGGGTAAAGATTTTTTTTTTTCTGAGCTTTCTTTTGATTGTAGATTACGCTGTGGTTGAGAAACCACAGTTAACTTCCTGGATGCATGGAGGTGCAGATTATATAGCATTGAAAAGCTTAGATATGGATGGCATACGCATAATTTGTAATGTACTTGGGCAAAGTATTGCTCTCGATCATTACATAGGACAGGTAATTTTTTATAGATATTCTCTGTTTTCTGCTTTTTATGGCGTCTGTCTCACGTAAGTTGAAGTAATCTTAACACAATTCTGCTACGAGATGCTCTTTGCTAAATAATTTGTAGCATTTATTT